CAAAGAACGACATATCACACCTAGCACAGCTTTCGTTGCTAATAATGAAAAATAAACGCCTCTTTTACAAAGAAATTGTTTATTGCGTGAATCATCGTTGTTAATATACACGGTGTCCCATTTTAATCTATAAATATTTAATTTTATTTTATTTGTGATATTTTCAGAATTATTCTTTGTTTAAAAATTATCTCATGTGGAATTTATTTTTGTTATAAAAATTAATAAAACTAATTTGTTTTTAGGTATATTTGTGTAGAGATTAAGTTAATTATTATTATTATTGTTCATTATTATTCGTTGTTTAAAAATTGTCATTTATGATCATGAAATTTTTTTTTAATACTCCTAATTATTGTTATTAAAATTTTTCAGATACTACATCATAAAATTACAAAAATAATTTAACAAATATTGTTAAAATAAAAATTTTCAGATACTACATTACAAATTATATTAATTTTTACAATAATCCTAGCTATTAACAAACAGAATAATAAAATATTTAGCATTATCAAATATTCCCAATTATTTGTATTAAAATTCTTCTAGCTACATTACAAAATTACAAAAATAATTTACCAATAATAAATAATAACAAACCAGAACAAACACAATCAGCAATAAAATAAAACAAAGAAACAAGTAGTCCAATAGTCATACGAAATCGCGAGCCGATAACTAAAATCACATTGAGCCATCAGTGAGACGCGATTAGTAAGAGTTAACAGCTCGCCATCTCCGTATCATAATTCCTCGAACACAAGCTCGCACACATCGAAACGTTTATCGCGCTCCCAGAGTAACAAACAGAAGTTCAAAAATCGATATTTTCCTCTTCCACGGCGAAAATATTTAACATAATGTAATAATATTTTACATTATTATTATTTTATATGATATTCTTATAATATATTATAATAATATGTTGAAACAATTTACGCGTGACTCTCGATTTACACGAAAATCCGTTCCACGCGGATTCGTTTTATGCGAACAAGAATCGCGTAAACGGAGCCCGTCGGTACAAGGGAAAACAAAATATTGAAGAAAAAAGCCGATGTTAGTTTTGGAAATACATATTTATTTCGCGTAGCTTAACAAAAGAAATAATAATAATGACATTTTCAAAAGCAAAAGTATATTTTATTCCCTGTTACTAAATTCAGATCGCGTAAATCGAGATCGCACGTGAAAACTACCGCGTAAATGGTGTTCCAATTTACCGTGCAAAAAAAGTCAGCGTAAATCGATACCCCGCGAAAAGACTACCGTGTAAACGGTGTCCCAATTTACCGCGTAAAAAGAATCCGCGTAAATCGAGGGTCAGGTGTGTATATATAATCTCAAAATTATGAATAAAAACAATGTTGTGTAATTAATATTCTCTAAACTACTATATATTATGTAATTGATTCTAATCGTAATATACATATATATATATATATATATATATATAATTAACAATATAATTATATAATTAACAACACGATGTATATAATTAACTACACTGCGTAAATCGAGGGTCAGGTGTACCCAATTTTCCCATAAGAAATGTTTACTTTGTTTTTCAACAAATTTTTAGAAATTCATCGATTATAAAACGAATACTTTGGTCGACGTATACGAAAATAAAGATTGCAATTATCAGTGGAGATAAAAATAAAGAGCTGACCGTTAAAATTTCGTCATTTGGCAATAATTAATTAGGCGTAAATGAGGAGACAATTTTTTCTTGGTAAGCTAAAAATATTTTTCGATTATATTTTTGTAATTTATAATGATATGTATATAAATAATAATAATAACAGTATCAACGTATTAGACAGTTCGATTCAGGTTGAATCGAAAAATTATAATTATAATTATAAGTTATGAAATATATAATATTACATACAAATATTTTTCTAATGTATATATAATATTAATTTAATGTTATATATATATATAAATTATAAAAATGTAATCGAAAGATATTTACTACATAATATGCAATATACAATATATAATATATATTATAATAATATTATATAAAATAATAATAATGTAAAATATATACATTTTTCAATTCAACCTGAATACAACTGTTGAAAATATTTTCCAATTATATTCTTGTAATTATATTATACATTTTATATTTATTATTTTATATTTTGTAATTTACAATTTACAATTTACAATTTACAATTTACAATTTACAATTACAATTATAATTTTCCAATTCAACCCCAAGAGAACAGTCCAAGACACCGATACTATTATTATTATTCAACGAAACCTGGTACATCAGCATAACGACTAACGTTCGAGATTTAAAAAGGTAATCGATACCAAAACATCTTCGCGTGCAAGCGTGAAACGGCGAAACGTTATTCAACATGAAATGATAATTAATTCTCCATGAATAGTGTGTACCGTAACGCGTTCAACGGGAAATATCTGAATGCCTGGTTTCACCGAGAATGAACAGTTTAACACTTTAACCGCCAAATAAGTACTCGCCAAAACCTCCACACAATCAAAATAATTTTCGTACTAAAACAGAAACTAAACGGTCAAAATTCTTCGTAACGATTGCCCTACTGTTCTTTCCATATTTAATGCATCTGACAAAATTCAGTTCGTTCGATACATCACCGAGAAAATTATTTATAACATTCTATATTTAATATTTAATTTTCATTGAATTGATTAATAATTTAAGTTTGGTTAATATTCAATTTTATTGAATTTATTAATATTTTAAGTTTGATTAATATTTAATTTTACATTGAATTTATTAATATATTTATTAACCTTCGAAAAAATTAAATATCAATCATTAAATTATACGTATACTAATTAAAAATTAATCAAATTTTCTGTCACCCGAATTCGGACGACATGGCAGTTAAAGTGTTAAAGCATAATTATGTGTTCCCTTGTCTGGACGTTTTTTTAAATCGTCGGTGCTTCGGTAAGACACGAATTTTATTGATTCCTGACAAATATAACCGTCGACGGATTATCAGATTCGTATCTAATACGATACGAGATAATTCGTGACTTTACTGAAATGTGGAGTTTTTGTTGGATATTAAGATAAGAATAAATGGTAAGCATTATATTATAATATAATGACATTATGTTATGATTAATGATATAGTGATTGATAATCATTGTATTGTAATGATTAATAATGTAGTGATTGGTAATCATTGTATTGTAATGATTAATAATATAGTGATTGATAGTCATTATATTACAATGATTAATAATATAGTGATTGATAATCATTATAATACAATTTGAATGAATTTATTAATATTTTTAATTTGATTAATATTTAATTTTCATTGAATTTATTTATATATTTATTAACCTTCAACAAAATAAAATATCAATCATTAAATTATACATATACTAATTAAATATTAATCAAATTTAAAATATTAATCATACGCATTTTCGAGAACAGTTTTTACAACGACAAAGTATATTTAATAATTGAATTATTAATAGTAATTTTAATATACATGACGTTGAAATATTTACGATTTTGTATCGTAGAAGTGAGGTTATGTTCGGCGATCTGTCATCGGAATACAAGAACGAAAGTAATTAGATTGTTATGGTATTTAGTACGTTATGAAATTTGCAAAAACAATTTGAATTTTAACGGGAATGATGAAATAAATATTGAATTGTTTAAAAAATTTTAAAAAGAATGTTTATAAATATTAAAGTATGAATTAATTTTTCAATGATAGCAGACTCTCCTTAAATATTATTAAATAAAATTAAATGACTTCACGATTTGTAGAAATTTTTGAAAACTTATATATATATTTTATTTTACATATAAATAAACAATATTTATAATACCTAATTTACAATTACTGCAATCCTTCATTTTGTTCGAATGATTTTTTAATAAAGAAAATTCTAAAAGTATAAACAAAGCAGGTAAAC